TTTACACATTATGCCCTAGTTACGGGACCAAACAAAGGAGTTTATACTTCATACAAAGACCTCTCTGAGGCCAAACAAGACCAATTTTGGTCTAATTACAAAGGTTTTTATTCCAAGGAAGAAGCCCAGATGGCTTTGAAATTGGAAACCATAAATGAAGAAAAATAAAAACGGCCCTTTTGCTTGAACCAAAGGCCCAAACACTAACCTATGCAGGAGCCTCGTTGTCTTCCTACCCAGAGTTAACCCAAACATCTTTTTAGCCAAGTTTGGTATAATACAAGAATTTCTGTTTGAAGTTCACACTGAAGCCCAAAATCCCCATGGGCTTACCGTCAAAACACAGACCTACTTTAACACTAGGAACCCTTGTTTAGGATCCTCGAATACCGTAAAACAAGATCCACAAAATGTACATGTCGGCTAAAGTTTGTCATCCGAAGGGCACAAATTGATTTGTCTACCTTCAAAACCCAACTATACCGAGAGCTTCGATAAGCCCTCAACTTCGTTAGAAGCCGGATGTCTCCAAGATATTACCATCCCTCCTACAGAAAGATTTCATTCATTGACCCCAGAAATAAACTCTGTGGTAAATGAAATACAAGCCGAGCATATGATGAGTGTGCTCTTAAAAATTACTTCTTCCCCTAGAAGTCCTAATTCCTTTGACAGCATGGCAAAACATGTTGTTAAGTTGTACACTGAGGTAAATCTTGAGATGCATACCTCAATAGAGCAAGATCCTTTTCAGGGACTTACTCTAAACAAAGATAAGTTTTACCAATATCAGCTTTGGAAAGCTTATGTAGAAGGATCTAATTGGAATTTCTCTAAAAAGGATATTTCAGATTTTATTCTTCTCAAAGAAACTGCTGATACCAAGCTCTATTGGAAACAACTTATGGGAAACAAGTTTCATCCTTTCCCAATTGAAGCCAGTCCCATTCTGGTAGAACACTTCAAAAGAGAAAGGATTCTCAAAGAAATTTATGAAGAAACCGGAATCCATGGACAAGGAACCCCCGGAGCTTCATTTCCCTCTGATGATGAGGAATTAAACTTCATTGACCAGATGGTTGAAGAAGGACTTGAAGATATGTCTTCTGTGTCAGTTTCCAGAAGACATTCTTAGGATTTCAAATGGCGGAACTGTACAAATCCCACCTCCCCACAACCAATGAGTCTTTCTGATAAAGACAATTTTACCCTTGAAGATTTTGAGGAACTCCTAATGGCATAATCTCTCACATCATTAGCCCTACAAAGACTAGTTTGCCCTTGAAGGTTTCGAGGAGCTTCGCATGACGTAAGCCCTTACGTCATAAACAGCTGTATCAAAAGACGACAAAGGTTAATGGCAGATAATGATATCTTGCTACCTTGTCATGATTCCTCTTCCGTTACATGTTGTTAGGCCCATTAAGCCTTGCATGTTAATGATGGTAAGATTGAATCAGTCTTTTGATAAAATGTAAAAAAAAAAAAAAATTGAATGAATGTCACTTTTTTGTCTTTTAGTGACGTTACTATTTTTGTTGTTAGTGAGGAAATTTTCCTTTGTAGGTTTTTATTTTACTTCTTTGTTAAGTTTTGTGACCCATAAGTCATAAAGTGGGTCCCCCATGTAAATTACTATTCATTAGTTTAATATTTTTCATTTTCTATATAATGCTTCATAAGTCCCTTATGCTTAGGCGGAAGAAGAAGCATTCTAGGCTTTCTCCTTACTCTCTCCTCTCCTCCTTCTCTCTACTTCTTATGTAAATTTCTTACTATCAATAAGAGAAGTTATTCAGCATCTCCCCTCTCCTTCTCCTTCTCCTCCCCCCAAGTAAGTGTTCTCTGCTCCCTCTTATGGAGTAGTTTTCTTATAAGGGCGTCCTCGGATGCCTTAAGCTTTATTTATTAAAAGATGCGATAAATCATTTAAAGGCTTAAATAATTTTTGTACAGCTTTATTTATGTTCATATAAGCTTATGAGGAGATTCTAACCGGCTATGCCAGATTCAGTCATCTCATAATCTTATCATGGACTTGTGTGTTTATTTTTCCTGTCTTTAATTTTCTGCATTTAATTTTGTTCATATAAGCTTATGAAGAGATGTCTAATCGGCTATGCCAGATTCAGTCATCTCATAATCTTATGGTGAACACTTTTTCTTGCTATAACCGACTTTATCTCGGACAGTCTTCATTTTAGCTAGTCCGGTTTTTGGTTCTTCTGTGAGCTAAGTAGCCACGTTGACCTACGTAAGAGATAAAGAGTTATAACATGTTTTAATTTATTTGTTTTCCAGTCTCTTTACTTTCCTCCTTTCCATCCCCCTTTCGGTCTCAGGGCGTTTATTCTGGGTTCATTCCTGCTTTCTCTCGTTCTATCTTCCTCTCGGTATCTGAGCAGTGTTTTCCCCTTACAGTGGTTTTCCCGCTTTCTCTGCACCCTCCTCCTCTCTAAATTTTCATTGTCAGGATTAGCATAAGTGCTATGCCTATTTTCCACTGGCCTATCTTGTTCTAGGTCTAGTCGTGGAATATTTCTATAGTCTGTGAAACTTAGACTCGAGTCCTCTAGATCTCGTTATGCAAAATAGCAGATGAAGGGGCAAGTGATCGGGAGTATCTTCTTCCCTAGGTAAGTGTGTTTGCCATAAATGTCCTTCATTTCTCCTTGTGAAGGCTTGAGTCGGCAAAAATTGTGTACCATGAGAGCTAATAGCTTCCTCTAATGGTCTTGTATCAATCCTATACATGGAAGAAATATGATTACTAATTCTTCCAATAAAGGTGATATCTAAGTGTAGATTTTCGCCCACCCAATTGGGTCCAAATCCTACCTGTTTGTACTTCTAGACTTATGTGGTTAACAAAATCGGAAGTGTAATTGTAAAGTTTGGTGCTAGGTATATCAATGAAAAAGGTTGATTTAAATCTACCTCTAAAATACCTATCACACTTTGTGAATCATTATTTTGGAATCTAGAGTCATGTAAAACTATCAAAGCTCTAGCTCCAATCATATCCCTAGCCAAGGATCTAACTCCAATGGTAATCAATCCCATATGGACATATCTTCCTTGTTGGCCTAGTAGTTGCCTACCAGTTTGTTGAGATATCAGAGGAATTATCTCATAAGTGTTGTCTGGAAGATGAAAATCTTCTATTCTTCTATATCGGTAAAGGGTAGTCCTTTCTGAACTTAACCATCCGATATTGTATAACTGCCTAGGATTCAAGGAATCTATCCTTGTATTTGATCCTATCTCAGTATTTTGTTGTATATCTACTAAGTCTTCCAAACGTCTGACATTAGTAGATCTTTGCCTATTTAGGAATCTATCCAAGATTCCTGGATGTTGTATCAAGTTTTGACTCCTGGTTTGATGTTCCCTCAATCTTCTGGGGACTCCAGGAAATCTATGTTTTTTATTAGAATCTATTGTATTATTCATATCAACAGTTTCTAATTGTGTTTGTGTGGAGTTAATAGGTCGTGTAAACATAATTAACTCACAATTTTATTTGTAGAAGAAGAAACTTCTTCTTTGTTGTTGTTGTCAAGTCAAAAGTTAAAACTCCTCGATGAAATGTGTATGTTTCCTAATACTATATTCAATAAGACTTATATGTTATATTTTCTACATAAAAAACATAAAATATAAATTTATTATATCGAACTAAATTATAATTAATTTTGATCCAATTTTGATAAATACATATTTTTTTCATTTGCAATTTTTTTAACTTACTCAATGAAGTAATTAAAAATATTTTTTAAACATCTTATCATTCAGCTTAAAATTTTACCATAAAAAGTTCTTTCAAATACATTTTAATAAATAATTTCCATTAGATTCCATAAAAATATAATCTCTATCTCAAATTCATAAATCTTTCTTGTTTCAATCGTTTTACCAATCTTCTTTTAAATCCTATAAATACTTTTAAATGTGAAATAAAATTTTACAAAAAAAATTTCAACAATTTTTCTTCACCAACTTTTATTTAATTAACACACACACACACACACACACATATATATATATATATATATATATATATATATATATATATATATATATATATATATATATATATATATATATATAATATCAATTTGCCTATTTAAAAAAATTCAATTGGGCGGTTTCTTTCTACACCCCTATAATATGTAAAATATAAAAGATGTTCTTAGTCAGTTTTCTTCTTCCGAGCCACATCTCTGTAGCAACACTTACACCTCTTTTGCTTTATCTCATACACCTTCATTCAAATATAATTTTTATGGATAGAATTTTTTTATGATTTATGCTCCGAATAAACACATTGGATTTACATTCATGGATTATTGAATTTATAATATATTTATGAAAAACACAATTCAAAAATAAGTTTCGATTAGATTAATTAAAATGAGTTTTAAAATTGTATTTTTAGGAATGTATTCTAGATTGTTAAATTCAGAATATATTTTCATAAAATAATGAAAATAAATTCTAAAATATACATATGAAAATGTATTATGAAAAACATAATCCGAAATTCATTTTTAGATTTTATTTTTAGAAATATATTCTAAATTTTGTTTGAAAATATTTTGGAATCAATTTTCTGATATATATTTTTATAAAATATAATATAAAAAATTTATTCTAAAAAAGTAATCGAGAACTCAGGATGAACTTTCTGAAAAACATATACATAAGAAACTATATTGTCATTTTTGTTAAATATAGAGTAGCAGGAAGAAAATATGCTGTAAATGAAGCAACAACCTTCAAGACGATAAACTTGGCCCAACAAGAGGACCAATTGGGTCCAAAGTCCACATTTTGGAGTGGACGAATGGACCGTATTACCCTTATTTTCTTGCTCTTAATATTTCAAATAATTTCATTTTCTATGTTTCTTTTCATGTCCTAGGAAAAGTAGGAGAAATAAACACAGCGCCCTAGATTTGCTCTTCTCTGCTTCGGAAGAAGAGAAACAAATCAACACAATGGCTTTCGCTTCATTCCTCGGAAGAGTGCTCTTTGCTTCGGTCTTTATACTCTCTGCTTACCAAGAGTCAGTACTTTTTCCTTTCCCTTATATTTTCCCTCTGTTGATTTGTGGAATAAAATGTTGTTTGTGTAATTTTAATTCAAACAAATGAACTAGTAGAAGTTTCTGGATTCTCCGTAAGTTTCTTTTGTAGATTCGGTTATTTACTTGCTGCGGTAGTTGGATCCGTAACTTTAAGGTTTGGAACTGTTTCTCTGAGTAAAATAACCGCGTAGATCTGCGTTTAGTTTCTTATGTTAATCGTCTGAGACTTCTTAACTACGTTATTGTGTTAGATTTTATTCTTGTTTTGACTTTGAGTGATCATGTGAATAAGTTACGCTCAGATTTGTTAGAAATGCGAGAAGCTCGATTCTATCATTTTTAATATTGTTAAGTGTAAAATTAACCATAAGTTCTTGTCTAGTCTGCAGATTTGTATTTCTGGATTAATTTTTACGGTGGAAAATAGTATATTTGACGTTATTTTTATTAGTTTCCATATTTTCTGTACGTGCAATTCTGCGTTGACTTTATCATGTTTTCATTCTTACTGAATTGGGTTACTTTGGATGGTTGTTTGTGACTTCATTATTATATATATATATATATATATATATATATATATATATATATATAATGTGCTTCATTTAGAAATTATTCATTGTGAGGTTGGAGGACTTGATGGGGTTGGTTGCTTGTGCTTACTTTCCTTGTTGCGTTAGTAGTGCTAATAATTAAGTTCTTTCAATTCGGTATTTAAATGTGTAAGCACTCATCTGCTAATTATTCTGGACCGTTCTCTTTTAATGCAAGCATATATGGTTCATCCCCTCTTTTTGTTGCTGAAGGTGAGTGAAGTAAAATTTTTTTTTAATTTGTCGTGTTCTTTGCTATAGATTTAATGAATTTGGAGTTGATGGTGGGCCTGCAGCGAAAGCCCTCAGACCAAAGTTTGATGCATTTACACATCATGTGCATTCTCAAGTTGGCTTTCAACTTTCAGAGATTGATGTTAGTCACCCCTTTCTCTCTCTCATTTGTATCTTTTCTGGAAAATTAGGTTTGTTCAGTCTTCATTTCAAAGTAATTGGAGAGTTAATTAAATATTATAATAAATACTTATTTAATACTATCTAATAGAAAAAGATAATGTGCCTGATTAAATAGAAGTTGCAATGTATGTTGGACGAGGACTCTACCTTTCATTAAGCTAAAAGCAATGTGCCTGATTAGAAAGAGAATAAGGGCATCGTGATAAGGGCTTATTGAGAAGAGTATTAGGGCTGTATTGTGTATATATAGCACCTTCTTAGTTTATAGATAAAAAATGTACTAAATACCTCGCATGCATATTGTATTACCTTGTATGGTAGAATTTCTCTGATGTTGTTAATGTCTTGAACAGACGAAACTTTTGATTGCTGGGGCTATTGCTCTGAAGGGCCTTGGAGGAGTACTTTTCATATTAGGCAGCTCTTTTGGAGCTCTTCTTTTGGTTTGTATACAAATTTTCTCTAATACATTGGATTTCATATTCTTCTTACATGCTCCTTTTTCTAGTTTAATTTTATTTATTTATTTATTTTGGCTGTAGCTCCTGCATCAGCTTATTGCTACTCCTATCGTCTATGATTTTTACAATTATGAGAGTGAGGACAAAGAATTTACTCAACTTTTCATCAAATTTACACAGGTCAGAACAGTGACTTATTTTTTTCATTATTTATTTTTCAATACAATGTTCCCTGATGTATTTTTACACTTGTTTTCTAAATATAATATAATTCTTTACAGAATATGGCTTTTTTTGGGGCTCTGCTGTTTTTCATTGGCATGAAGAACTCCATCCCTAAAAGGCAACCCAAGAAGGCTCCAAAAACAAAAGCCTATTAGTAACAGCAGCATTGGAGGACCCCTTTCCATGGAGTGGGGGCTGTTGCTTCCTGGTTCTTCATCATATCCTCACAAATGTGCCAGGATTTGGGTTGGATACTCCTTTGATTCAGAATCAATCTTCCTCCCGTCGAGTTTTGTAGTTTTGGCTTCACATGGATTAAATTATTGGCTATTATTTTATATGATCTGTTATCACGGTTTTAGGAACTATATTTCAGTTAAACTTGTCTGTCAAAAGCAGAAACAAAACAAAAGGATGAGATGCCTTTGCGCTTAAAACTTCAGAATGCCAATTTCATTCTGTTCTATCTATCTTGATGTAAGGTCTTCAAAGCCGGTCATGTGAAGTTATTTAACTTAACTGGAGTTCTTCACTTCAGCCCATGAATTTGTGTGCCCCTCCCTTTCTCTTTTGAACTCATTTTATTGTGTGGATTGGGTTTTTTGGTCAAAACAAAGGTTAGAAATTAATTTGGAAAGCTTTTAGTAAATAACTGAAGAAGTAATGATTTTTGCGATTAAATTGAGAGAAAAAAAATATTTTATAAGTGTTTTTCTTAGTTTCTATTTATTTTATTTTTTATTCATTATCTTTTGTTTTCTTATAATATATATATTTAAAGTTTTGTGAATTGTAATGTTGTATATGTTTTGACTTGAGTAGATTTAATAATATTTGTGTTTCTTATATCGTGGTTAATTTTTTTATTGCAATGATTTTTAATTGAATAACTTGATAAAAATTTTACAATTAGAAATTTCATCCTTTTTAATTTTAAATGCTCATTTTTGTATTTTTTTGGGAAGTAAACTTCTTAAATTATTTTAAAAATTAAAAATCTATTATAAAAGATTAATTTTCACCTTTAAAATTTTAATCTTGCATTACTCATTGTTTTAATTTTAATTAGTATTTAAGTTTTGAATAATTTAAATATTTTTAATCTCATATTTATCTAACTTAGGTATAAAAATTTGGTTTCAATGTACTTCAATATGTTATTGGCACTAGTTTGTGTCCGGTTATTAATGTTTTGTTTATATTTAAATATTTCAGTTCCTATTATGTCTCTCGTTGTAAATATTTGGACTTTTAATGTTTTTTGTTGGATGATTTTTGTCTAATGCGAGAAGCCTTTGTATGAAAGCATGGGAGTCACGACTTTCGGGTTTTTTTTTTTTTTTTTTTTTTTTTTTTTTTTTTTTATTTCTTCGTTTTAGTACTTGTAGGCCTCGCGATACTCGACCTTACTTTCGTTTGATTTATATTAATTGGACATCCGTCCTTTAGGATAGCACTTGAGAGGTTCTGGTAGCACGCATAGCTAACTAAATCTTAATGCTCCTTCTAATTTTCCGCACTAGTTCTTCAATACTTTGTACAATTTACATTGTTTTTGTGTATTAAGGAGTTGCTTAGACGGATGCACGACTCACGTTCTCTTATGTCTAATATTTTCGAAAGTTCTTTGAGATGGGTATGGTAGTACCTGCCATCATGAATCATATTTTTTAAATAAGTTTTAAGATATGGGTATGGTTATGTGTCTCACTTTTCGAAGTATGAATATGACTTCATGTGTCATCATATGTTTTATTTTTTGAAATAAATTTTTAGAAATGAGTATGGTCGCACATCATTATGTGTTTTATTTTTCTAAAATAAATTGAGACATGGATATGGTTGTATGCATTATCATATGTCTTACTTTTTGAAGCACGTATATGGTCACATATGTCATCATGCGCTTCATTTTTTGAAAAATATTTTTAAACACAGGTACGCAATTATGTAGGTTTATGTATGGTCACCCGCATTGTCTTACACTTTACAATCCTTTTCCTAAAAAACAAAAAATAAAAATCTCTTTAAGAAAATACCAAAAATTTTCAAAACCTTAATCAAATACATAAACTTTTTTTTAGAAATAACTCTGTAACTCTGATTTTTCATTCCAGAAAATACGTAAGAGCAAGGTTTATTCTTGTCAAACCCAAATAAAAAATTTTCAAAAATGTTTTTCTTTGTTTTTCTCTTTTTCTTTGTTTGTTTTATATTTAAAGGGAAACAAATATTTTTAAAATGATATTTATTTTGCACATTCAACTAAGGGTAATCGTGTTAAGACAGGACGATGTAGGGTGTCGATACCTTCCTTATACATGATTGACTCTCGAACTCAAATATGGTTTCGAGACCATTTTTTTAAAAGGTTTTTTCATAGTTTTCCTTAAAAAATTATGGTGGCGACTCTACTCGTATTTTTCTAAATATCGTTAATTTTTTCATTGCCCTTGGTGGCCTCGATTGCGATGCACATGCTACTTTGACATTTTCTCTTATTGTTTCCAATACTTGAACATGTTTGATAAAATGTTTAGCTTAGTATATACATCTTGAATTCATAGTAGAACCTAAACATAGGATCTAAGTATTTATGATCATCTAGAAACAATTTCATTATTATTTGTCAAGTTTAGAATCAATACTTAAGGGGAAAAAAACCAGCAGTTGAAAAATTGTTTCTAGGCCTTTTTAAAACAAAAAAAAATTGTGCAATTATATCCTAATTTATTCTAGAATTGTTGATCACTAATGGTTGCATGGATAAGTATGTCAAATTAGTCCCAATATTATAGGAACCATAATCTTTGTGGTGTATGTTCTTTCCTAAAAAAATTTTAATTACATATTTAAAGTATTTTCTTGAATTTTATTCTTGTTTTTCTTTTTTAGTCTTTTAAAAGTATTGTCTCAATATCTCTCTTGAGTGTACCCTTTCTTACTTAAAGCTTTTCTTGATTATCTTAGGATTTTAAGTTTTGTCTTTGTGGTTTTATTTTCTTGGAATTCTTAAGTGTTTTAGTTGGTGCACATATTTCCATTTGAACGCCAACTTTCAAGTTTAAAGGACTTTTAAGAGGTTTGAACACTTGGGAAAATACTTGATGGTTTGAGTGACCATATCTTCAAAATTTTATGTGAGAAACTAAATACTTAGAGAGTTCATTATTTATTTATATAACTTTTCTCTTTGAGTTGTTTTTATTTTTAGGCTTGTGTTTTTAGGAGAAAAATTTCAAACACCTCATCCGAGAAGGCAAGAAAGATGGGAGAATCCCATGAACGAACAAGCTGGAACTCCTTAGGGAAATGGAAATCTCATGGAAGGAGAGTAAAAAGAACCTAAAGGAGACCATCCAAAGATTGGAGATGGAGCGGACCGAGAGAGAAAGAAGAAGATCATTCTCACCAACAAGTTCCCAAGAAGATGAAGGAAGAAGCACAATATCAAGATCCCCAAGTTCCATGAAGATAATGATATGAAAGTTTACTTGGTTTGGGAAGCCAAGATAGATTAGATCTTTAAAGTAAATCCAGTGGAGGGATCAAGAACAAGTAGATTTGGTAATAGTAGAATTAGAAGGATATGCCATGATTTGGTGGCATAAAGTTTTTACAGATAATTACCAGGGGCCACCCGCAACTTCTTGGAGGGACATTAAACTTTTAATGCATGACATATTTGTTCCTTCATACTATACAAGGGAACTCCTTTTGAAGCTCAAATTACTTTAACAAGGAAGTTTATGTGTAAATGATTATTTTAAAATGCTAGAATCTTTACTTCTTAGGAGCAGATTGCATGATGAAACAAATGAGACAAAGGTAGCTAGGTTTGTTAGTGGTTTGAGAAGATACATCCAATACTTAGTAGAATTGTATGAATACTCCTCCACATAAAATGTTTTACACCTTGCCTTAAAAATTAAAGCTCAATTAAAAAGAAAGGATGGGTCAAGGAGGAGCTATTAAAAAATGATTATTATAGTTCTTCTTGGAAAGGCAAGAGTAAGGAAAAGCATGGTAAGAACTAGTTCCAAGTTGCTCTAAGAGCCAACCCCTAAGGGGGGGAAAAACGTCTAGGAACCCCACTCCTAACGCCTCTGCTTCTTAAAGGATTAGCTCAATCAAATGTTTTAAATTCTTAGGGTATAAGCTCACGATATTTTGCATCAAACTTCTTGTGCTTATACACTCAACAAAATGGTGTTGTTGAACGTAAACACAGACATCTTATTAAAATAACTCGCACTCTTTTAATTCATGGAGAGGTTCCTCAACATTTTTGGGGTGATGCTTGTAGATCCCAAATCTTGCCCGGCCTCAAAATAAAGAGCAGAAGACATCCGTTCGAAGATGGGCAAGACCTAAAAGGTCCCTATGATTGATCAATAGGCCCCATATTAGAATATGAAGGTTTTTTGTACGCGAAAAATAAGAAATTTCACCTAAAGGGCCGAGACCGCCATCTCGTTTGATGAGACTGCCGTTGTTGGCTAAGGCGAGACCGCCGTCTCGTTTGGTGAGACCTCCGTCTCGCCTCTTGTCAATGGCGAGACCACTGTCTCATTTGGCGAGACCGCCGTCTCGTTTGGCGAGATGGTGGTCCCGACCTTGTCAGGCGAGACGACGGTCCCGACCTGACAAACGCGAATTTCTATAAAAGGGGGGATGTCCTCACCCTTTTCACAACACAGAGCAACTTTCCCTTCTACACTTCTTTCAAATTATTCTCCTAGGACCCCTCCGAAGCATTTTCAGAGTTTCTTAGTGTTCTTAATAAGTGTCCTGTAGTGTTGCGAGAAAGAGCGATCATCACTATAGAGCGTGGAAGTTGCCAAAAAGCACCTTTCTTTTCCAAGAACATTAATACAAAGTTTGCTTCGAAGGTTCCTACATTTCCTATCTTCTTTTACCACTTTCTTATTACATCTATCTGTGCATTAGTTGTTAGGGTCATGTAGTCAACAATTTAAATTCCACAAATGAATAAATAAGGGTAAAAGCGTAGTTTTAGAGTTCTTTATTTATAAAATAAACGGTCCTTCATAGGGAACCCAAAAGGGGCGTCGTAGGGAAGCTAATACCTTCCCTACACGTAACTAACTCCCTTACCCAACTCTAGTTATAATGGCCAAAGTTGATTTTTCTA